GTGTTATTTGTACCGAATCTTGTAATTAGAAGACGAACCGTATTCTTGTTGATGTAAAAGTAATTAGAACCCTAGGTTGATGTTCTTGTTGGCGTTCTTGATGCTTGTGTGATGTTCTTGATGCTTATGTGATATTCTTACTGAATCTTGTAATTAGAAGACGAATCGTATTCTTGTTGGCATAAAAGTGATTAGAACCCTAGGTTGTATCGTATGATATTATTCTTGGTGTATTGGGTGGGGAAATCGCATGTTTGGATGTCAATTATGTTTAGAAAATCATGATAGGTTATGTGCCGTACGTTTCTCATATTTGATCCGTTAATTGTCTACGTGTTGATCGTTAATTGCGTTGTAAAGTGTCTAAGCATGGTTTCGGGTTCCACAATGGTTCCCGGGGCGTTTTGTGTATAAAGAGTCAGTGGGGGGTAGGTGGGGGGGTAGGGGACCCGCCACCTACCCGCGGCCAAAAGGGGCGTCTCCGGCAGCGGGCAGCTGCCCGCCGCCGACCCGCTGCCCGGAACAGTGTTTACCGGCGGGCAGCCGGTGGGTGGCCCCCCACCCATCGGCTACCCGCTGGAAATCTCCCCCATTCGGGACCCCGGCTTCTTCGTTTGATGTTTCCCCGATCCCCGTGGTGTCCCAACGGACTCCGTTCATCGTGTTGTGTCTAGTTTGATGTTTTGAGTACCGTTCGTCGGTTAATGAGTCTTATATATTGCATGCTAGTTGAATTGGTATCCCGTTGACCTAGGTGGAAGAAGTATGAACCCCTTAGGACCAGTCTTAGTATGTGAAGGATCACGTATAGGTTTCGTTATACGCTTTCTCCCCCTTCCCAGTGTGTTAATGTGGGTTGCATGTGCTTGCTATGTGTTATGTGTGCATGATACCCCAATTCGGTTGCGATCGGATTGGTTATTCCTGAGCTGCGGTTCAGAAGCTGGCTGCGTTCAGATTTACACTCTTGGGCTGTGGTCCACCGTTTGGTTGCGATCAAACGTTTCTACATGAGCTGCGGTTCATACTTTCCTGGCTGCGGTCAGATGACATAGTCTTGGGCTGCGGTCCACTGTTTGGTTGCGATCAAACATTATGATGAGCTGCGGTTCATCGGTCGGTTGCGATCGACCCCTCCGTGTTGCGATACGGGGCAGGGTGCTGCGGGGCCGTGTCAGAGCTATATGCGCTGACCCTCATGTATGGGCATGCGATTGGTCCTGTGGCGCCAACAAAGTGTGCTATGTGATGAGATATGGATGAGTTGTGATTATGAGTATCTTGGGGGATGTGACTATGGGATTTATGCTGGGGATTGTTTATATTGGGTTATGACTATTAATTGTGCTCAGCTTTATCTGTCTTGCCTGTTGTGGATTGTATACGCTTGTTATAACTGTTGCTTGTGTCTAGCCTTATCTGTCGAGTCATTCCCGGTTTTAAAAGCTAGAGTTCGTAGGATATATCTTCATGCTCAAAATGGTTTTCGTATATCTATATATATCTATATGTATTGTATTTCAACGCGTTGGAGTGGGTTACCAGCATCTCTCGCTGAACAGATATATTTGGCTTTCAGGCACAGAAGAATAAGTCACTGGAGCGCGCTAGAAATTGGAACGTAGAAGTAGATAGTTTCCCTTTCGGCCTGCATGCCATGCTTATGCATTTACATTATCAAGGATATTAGTTAGTTAGCCTGTGCATCTGAGTTCTCTGGCTCAGGTGTGGCATAGCACCCCGTACTCTTGTATTACGTTTTAGGATTTAATGAGATTCCTCCTTTATTTTATAAGTTTTAAATATCTTGAAATTTCGGGGTGTTACACAATTGTTCATCATCATCGACATCTTGTATAAGAGTTTTCCTATTAATTGACTAAACAAACCTATATCTCTCCTCTGGGACATTGAAAAATTCATTAGCACAAGCGACTAATGCATTAGAGATAATATATGTGGAGTATAACTTGAGCCTTTCATCCGGCAGTTCAATATCATTTTGATAATTCATTCCTTGAACTCAAAAATGCAGGTTCTACGAAAGTCAAACTCTCTAACTTCTTATGAATACCTTTTGTGTTCAAGTCTGTTATGTCTATCTCAATACAGACCTCCATCCTGTCAAAGTCTATCTCAACATAGACTTTTAACTCTAACAAGCCTTATCGCAATATAGACTTTTATGTAAAGTCTATCTCAATATAGACTTTTAACTCTGTCAAGTCTATCTCAGCAGGAAGAAAAATGGTGTCAAAAGTCCCTTAAACTTCCCTGCTAATATGGATAAGTCACTAGTAGAAAAATGGCCAAAAAAATCTGAAAATTTACGTCTATTGTGACATAACCAAACGCCTAAAGTGATGCGTTGCAATTTTTTAATTAAAATATCATCTTTAAATATGTTTTATTTTTTAAATACGTAGACTATATGCAGTCGTTGTGCATTTACAACACACGGATAGTCTTATTCAAAAAAAAATGAATTAAATATTTCCATCCACTATATTGGTATACCAAATGCAATTAAATTGCGTGTTTTTTATTTTTCATAATTTCTGCCTCTGATATATATTAATTCGAGAAGCGAAAACTATGATTTTCAATGCCAAAATTTTCAATCACTATCACTCCACGCTCTCATAAGCCTCTTAGCTACCATCATCCCCATACTTCACTATCTCCATCGTAAAAATCGCACACACTCCATCGTCACCATCACACAGGCTCCATTGTCGCGCGGGTCAGGCTCCATTGTAACAAAAGGACTAAACACCTTGTTGGTCCCGATAGATTGTAGCGAGAGTCTAGAGGGGGGGGGGGGGTAGGTGAATAGACTCTTTTCGTGAAATGCCCTAAAAGTCACCTTTCGGTGTTTTGGCGCAGCGGAAAAGTCATATTCGTTAAATTGCTTTGCACGAGTTTGCGATAAGGAAAACTTTCGGTAAAAGAGATAATGAGGATGATATGAATGCAGAAAGAAAAAGCTTAAGTAAAGAGATAGAAGGGACAAGATATTTTATAGTGGTTCGGCTAACGTTGCCTACTCCACTCTTCTTCCACAACTGATGGAAGGATTGCACTATCACTCTTTAGTACAATTACACAAAGACTTCCTTGATCACTAAGCCGGACAACCTTCGTAGGTTTTCAACTCCTCGAGTTTACTCCGCCTCTATCAACTTCTTCTTCAGAGTTGAGGTTGGTAGAAAAAGATTTCTTGATTTCTCCAACGTGATGAAGTCTTGACTGAGAGAGATGACTGCTTCGAACAAAAGGAAAGACTTCTCTAAGGAGTAAGAAAATGATCAATAACGTTCTTCAAGTAACTTAACACCTTAACACTGGTTCACAGAAGCTTTTAGAGATTTGAGAGCGTTCAAGAGCTTTTCCAAGTGAATGAGTCGAGTGAAAAGAACCAACACCTTCTTAGTTGATGAAGGTAGGTTTATATAGGTGATGAAAATTCATCCGTTGGAGGGAGATGAGATTTTCGAACCTTTTAACCAGTGGGCAAGGACCGGGGAGCTTCATGCATTAAATGCTCCATTAATGAGGTTGTAACATGTAGCCGTTGAAAGTATGGAAAGCATTAGGGTTTTGTCCTTTAGCTCCAGGAGATGGTACACCTTCATTTAATGCTCCTTGATTAGTGTGTCCCATAAGATGAGGTCCTTATTGTCCTAGGATGTTGTCAACTCAGACAGATAGAACATTCTTCTCGTTGTTGAAGAGAAGTAATGTTTGGTAAGAATCGTCTTTAACAAAACTGTCCTTTCGTGATAGTTGACAACTCCTGCTTGACTTTCGTTGTTGTTCATCATGCCTTGTGTCTTCTTTCGTCTTGGAGACCCTAACAACTAGTCATAACTCATTTTCGTGTGTTTGTCTAGCTTAACACGAATTACAGAGGAGTTATGGCAACTCTCGTCTAGGACGAAAGCAGCGAATGAAAAAGCTAATAGTTAGGGGTCTACTTTTCTACATTACATTGGTATCATCAAAATCCTAATACAAGGTTCCTAACAATTTCTCCCTTTTTGATGATGCCAAAACCCTATACCCTTCTTGTAAGGCTGAAAATGATTCCATAAAGAATTTTTCTATTATAAAATCAGCCTTACATGAGAGTGTACAAGTCTTTTTCTAAGATGAAAGCATTAACAAATAAGACAAGGACAAATAACTCAGACAAGTGACATGAGATGTGTGACAATGAGAGTTTCATATTATGATAATGAAAATTACAAAATCTTTTTGATGAAAACAGAACGAAAGATATCTTACATTTCTAAGAGCTTTGACTTCTGTTGAGCAGCTTCCTTAAGTTCTTTGTCGTCTTTTTTCTTTTGTTGCTTGAGCATTCTTTTGAAGTCTATTTTCTCATTGATCTTTTTCCTGAAGATCTTAATCGAATTTGTCTTGAAAAGCTCTTCATGTTCTCCTTTGATATTTAAACTTGTGTAGTTGTTATAGGCTTCACGAATGTTTCTTTCTTTGACTATCCCAGCTTTCCACCACGAAATTAGCTCAAACGAATTCATTCCTTCTTGATAACTTTTTCTTGACTCTTTGTGCAACTTGAAGGCTGCATTGTGAATAACACTTTGTGGAGAGTCTTTGGTTACACTTGAAAGATCTTCGATGAAATTCCTGATTCTTTCTCTTTCCTTTGCTTCATCCTCTCTTCTTTTGATTTCTTCATCATGTTTCTTCCACAGTTCTCTGTTTTCTCTTTTGATCCTTTCGTTTTGGGTGCTAATGTGATCTTGCCTTGTATGATTATCCCTTGTTTTAAGCCAGGTAGGGACATTGCAACCCTCAAAACGTTTACCACTTCCTTCTTCATAGGGAACAATGTCCACAAAGTTTCCTATGCCATCCATAGTTACTTTGTTGTTCTTCATAAGTCTCTGCCTTAGATTCGTCTGTTCTCTCTTGGACAGACCCGTGAAGATGTACTTGGCTTCAGAACCGAAAGATTGGCGAGGCTTAAGTGATCAGGATTGGTATCGACCATGGTATCTTGGCTTTGAGGATAGGTGACCACGAGACCTTGTTGGAGGATGGGATGGATTTGTGTTCCTTCGGCCAGAGTTTCTTGGTGTCCGAGAAGGCGAGTGTCTTGCTTCTGGAGACTGATCTTTCGTGTTGTTTCTTGGATGATCATCATCCTTATCCTTGTCGTCATCTCTCTTATCATCATCCTTATCCTTGTCGTCATCTCTCTTTTCCCCCTTTTTTGCATCATCGGCACAAGTGGTAGGAGGAACAGTGGAAAGCTTGCTTACGGCTACCAAGATGTCCTGGGCATAACCGAGAATTTGAAGAGCATATTCTCCCAGTTGGTATGAATTATCTTGATAAGTATCGATCTTTGTACAGGCTAGGTCAACACGTTCTTTAAGGCCAAAGTGAGAATGTTTGAGCTCGTGTTGTTGCCGTGCAAATTTGTTCATGGTGGTGTCAAGTTCATGAAGTCTCTTCGCAATTCGCTCAAGGAACTTGCGATCTGATTGAGTGTGCTGCGACGGTTGAGGTTGTTCTTGAGGTGGAGGCTGAGGTTGAGATTGGGCAGCCATCAGAAGATCTACCTTCTTGCATAAATCATCTAGTACTTTCGTGTCCTTTTTCCGTAGAACAAGATATTGCAGATGGATGGTTTCGGCTGAATGGACAGTTTCTCTCATGAGGTTCATGATGGTCCGTGGGGACTCTGCAGTTAACTCTTCTTCAATGTTTGTTGGCGTTGTGTCCATTTGTTCATTTTGAGGTGGTGCTTCCCTTTTGCCACCACTTGCTGAGCTGAGAAGAATTGGTGAGGCTTCCAGTTTGCCCTCACGCACAGATTCTTTCTCTTGCTTGATCGGCGTTTCGTCCATGGGTTGAACAAGTGGAACTATGGCACGAGACAGATCTTCGGGATGTTCATTTGAAGCTTCTTTCGGGTCATCACTATCAGAGGGTAATTTTCTTAGGGGAGATCTTTGGGGAAAGGTATCATAATCAGGACCGATCAATATTGGATCACTATCTTCGGGATCGTCTTCTTGAGCACCTGCATTACCCAAATGATCATTATTGTCATCGTCATCATCGTTGTCATCATGCTCGTCATCTGCATCTTCAACATCATCATCATTATCATCTTCATCTTCATCGAGATTTATTACACAGAACAAACGTAATAGAAACGATTACAGTCTCTCGTGCATCAGTAGGCAAGCTAGCCTTTACTCAATGCTATCCTTCTTCTTTCGTGCATACTCAAAATACTCCTTCTTTCGGATCATATGAGCAAATACTTCAGCGATGAGAGTTTCGTGATTTACCCCCATTGTTTCTCTAGAGAGACCTCGTCTCTCCATGTCATCTAGTTCAGCCAAGACTTTGGCTTTAGCACCAGCGTACAATGCACGATATCTTTCTTCGTGTTTCAGAAGTGGTGTTAGTTGAACAAGGGAGTAGAATTCTGAGATGTCTGGTTCCTTCCCAAAGGGTGAACCTTTCTCAACTGAACTTCTGAGATCGTGGTGCGACATTTTTTCGGACAAAGATGAGCTCTCGGATGTGAGGGCCATTTCCTTCCCTTTATCCATGAGCTTATAAAATATGAAGAATGAGTCCATTAAATAGTGGGTTGGACCTCTCAAAAGATGTGTCCGAATGACTTGACCAAGGCACGCCTTAGGGAATATATTCATTTCCAAGAAATTTTTCCTTGATCCGAGATATTAAACAGATGAGAAATGAGACAAGTAAAGTCTCGTTCAATATCTTTAAAGAAAAGCAGAACCAACGAAGTTTTATTATTCATAATACCGAGAGAAGAAAATACATAAGGTGAGATACAAAATCCAAGGGATCAATTTTTCTTTCTCTCATTTTTCTTGACTCCAGACGACTCAGCTTTCGCCTTTTTCAGATTTCCCCACATCTGCTTGTACCACTTTCCGGTACGTGGGTAGTTGGAACCAGATGAGGATTCAGGTTCTTCCCCCTTAGCATATGCCTCTTTTTCATCCTCTTGTTTCAGATAGGCCATATAATCTCGATCAAGGAACTTGCTGGGATCCTTAGGGGTGGCCTGAGTAGGGTCTGTTTCTTTTGAAAGCCTTTCTTCATTTTCAGATTTTTCAACAATGTAGGCAGCCATCTCATCATATTGAAGAGATGATTCGAAATCGGAGAGGATGTCTACTGGTGCTTGCGGACTGTTACCTGGATAAAGGTCACCTTGTTCCTCCCGGATACGCCTAGCAACCTCTCTTAGTTTGTAAGAGTCACCTCTAGTGAAAGGTTTCTTTGGAGACATGGTGAGGAGGAGAATGATGAAGATGATGTGAAGAATTCACCTCCTTTTATAGCAAGAGATCCATAAAGTTCATGTGTCTGTTACACATATTTTTCAACGTAGCAATTAATACTCATAAATATCTTCAAGGAGTTATCAATTCCAGGCAAGACTTTGACTGTGAATATTCGACTCTTTATTAACCATGCTCCAACTTCAATGTGCTTAAATGTCAGATAACTCATAATGATTTATGGCCCCCTTTTTTTTTGACCAGATTACATTTGTGTGATTAGTTTTCCTGTAACTTTAAACAAGAAACTAACAAAGATAAACATAGTCAAGAATTGCATTCATTCTAAGTACGAAAAAATAACACTTTTATTAGATCATAAAGGAGAGAAAAAGGGGGTTCCAAGTCACAACAGTACAGCACACAACAATTTAGAGAAAACGATAGGGCACGTGAAGTTCCAGACGAGTCATCTCTTCGGTCACATCAGAAAGATTTGCCTTCTTTGCATATTCATCCAGCTCCTCAAGTGAGAGAGTGGGTTCGGGTGAATGAGTTGAAGACCGAGAGTGAACCATAGTGAAATCTTCATAAGACTGATCACTAGGTTGGGGAACTTCAGGAATAGGATACCAGTGAGAGGTAGGTGTAGTTGTTGAATGCTTGTTAGAGCTTTTCATCATTATTACCCTTTCGTTAGCAAGCCGTTTGGCTTGTTTTAGGCAGTATTCTTTCTTAGCCCTGGATTCATTGACCAGATTGTCAAGAATCTCCTTCTCCTTTCGTGTTGCAGTGTTAGACATGGAGTAAATTACGTTGATCCTTTCCCTATCTTCTTCCAACTTAATGATGGTGGCATTTGGTAGCTTGCTGGCTTCTCGCAGATGATGAGCTAGGCGAGTAGCTCTTCTCTCAGCTTCATCGATCTTTCCTTTCCCTTTGTCCATTCCTACAAGCTTTTTCCTTTTTCTAAGGGTTAAGAGTGAGTACGGCTCATGAAATGGGAAAACAATTTATAGGAAAAAAGTTATCGTGTCAATCTTGATAAAATCTTTTAGATACTGACACCGTATTGAAAAGATATTGAAAGATAGAGTCATATATTAGAAGATCACAATCATGATAACATCACAACTTATCACCGTGGCCTAACAAAGTTATTTAGGCCTTCTTTTTCTTGTTGCTTGCGGTGGATTTGAGAGGAGATGCCATCTTAGTAAGAGTGCTTGAGGGTGAGGAGTTAAAACTGCCACTTCGTTCCAGTACACTGTCTTCCTTGACGTACCCTATAGGGTTGCCAACAGAGTGAAATGACTCTCTTGACTCATTTTCCGTTGTGTCACGGAGAAGACTCTGTATGTGTTGAGAATGTTCAAGAAATTGATTAAACTCTTACTCGGTTACAAGTGGATCATTGAGGATTTCGCTTTCCCCTTCTTGTGCCTCAGTGATTGTTCTTTCGCTTCCTGTACTCATATCTGCACATGTAAAGATAAATACTAGAAGTTTTGTTAGATATGAAAACTTAACCACGTCATGTACCTCATTTATAAAGATCCTTGCGTGTAAGGATGGATCAAATCTTTTGAGTATCGAGAGTGAGAATCTTTGCAGATTTGATTCTCTTGGCTTTATGTCAATTCAATCATTCCGATTTCGTGTCTTAGAGATGAGAATCTTGCTTCACTCAATGGTTTTGTGAGTATATCTGCAAGTTGATCATCAGTATTAACATACTCAGGAGATATATCTTTCTTCTCGACATGATCACGAATGAAATGATATTTGATGTCAATATGCTTAGTTCGAGAGTGTAAGACGGGATTATGTGTAATGGCAATTGCACTCATGTTATCGCATTTAATGCTCACTTCTCGTGCATTTATACATAATCCTTCAATTGATATCTCATCCATAAAATTTGAGCACAACAGCTTCCGGCTGCAATGTATTCGGCTTCAGCCGTACTTGTAGCAATAGAATGTTGTTTCTTGCTAAACCATGATACAACTCTTCCTCCTAGGAACTGGCAGGTTCCTGAGGTACTTTTTCAATCAATTCGACATCCTGCGAAGTCTGCATCTGAGTATCCAATTAAATCAAATGATCCTTCTTTCGGGTACCAAAGTCCGACACTTTGTGTTCCCTTAAGATATCTTAATATCTTTTTAGTTGCACTTAGATGACTTTCTTTCGGCTTGGCTTGAAATCGAGCACATACCCCAACAGCAAACGAAATGTCAGGTCTGCTTGCTGTTAGGTATAAAAGAGAACCAATAATGCCTCGAAAGTTTTTCTGATCAACATCTTTTTCTTCGTTATCAACATCCATTCTCAGGGATGTGCTCATAGGAATTTTGACCGAACTTTTTCCATCAATGCCAAATTTTCGGATTAGGTCCTTGGTATATTTGGCTTGATTAATGAATATTCCATCTGGGCATTGTTTGACCTGTAATCCCAGAAAATAGTTTAGTTCTCCCATCATGCTCATCTCAAATTTACCCTTCATAAGATTGGAGAACTTTTCACACAATATTGGATTTGTGCTCCCGAAGATAATGTCATCAACGTAGATTTGGACTAATAGAATATGATCATTATATTTTATACGAAAGAGTGTTTTGTCAACCACTCCTTTCGTGAAACCACAGTTGATAAGAAAGTATGAAAGAGTGTCATACCAGGCTTGTGGAGCTTGCTTTAAACCATAAAGAGCCTTTTTGAGATGATAGACCTTTTCAAGCTCATTATTGATTGCAAAACCAGGTGGTTGTTCAACATACACTTCTTCTTCAAGAAGGCACTCTTGACATCCATTTGATAAAATTTGAAATTCTTATAGGCTACAAATGCCAGGAATATACGTATAGGCTCCAATCTTGCTATAGCGGCGAAGGTTTCATCAAAATCAATTCCTTCTTCTTGGCAATACCCCTTAGCGACAAGACGAGCTTTGTTCCTAACAATGAGCCCATCTTCACTCATTTTGTTTCTGAACACCCATTTAGTTCCAATGACGTTCTGATGAGATGGTCTCGATATAAGTTCCCATACCTCATTTCGTTCAAACTGATGGAGCTCTTCTTGCATGGCTATTACCCAGTCAGGGTCACTTAGGGCTTCTTCTATGGATTTTGGTTCCATTTGTGACAAGAAGCATGTCATCATACTTTCGTGCAATGAGGCTCTTGTTCTCACACCTTCTTGGACATTACCAATAACCTGATTTGATAGATGATCTCTTAACCACCGGAGGTCTGGTTCAAATGCATCTTGTTGATTTGAGCTTACATTTCAGGAATATATGGTAGATCAATGTATATCATTGGTTCAGATGTTGTGGTACTTGTAGGATCATTCTGTTGAGTTCCAACTTTTTCTTGAGATGCAGGTTCGGGTTCTGAAATCTTTAGCTGATATTTCGTGTAAGTCGAAAGTATATCTTCTTCGTCTGAGATGTCTTCATCGACAGGTTGCGGAGGACTTTGACTTGAGTTGATTGAAGTTTTACATCCAGATGGATTCTTCTCAGATTGTTCATCAAATTTGACATGAATGGATTCCTCAATTATCATTGTTCGTTTGTTTAGAACTCTGAATGCTTTGCTTACTGAAGAATATCCCATGAATAGTCGTTCATCAGCTCTTTCGTCAAAAGCCCTTAGATAATTTTTTTCGTTGTTGTGTATGAAGCACCTGCAACCAAAGACATGAAAATAACCGATACTAGGAGTTTTACCTTTCCATAGCTCATATGGTGTCTTGTTGCGAGATTTGTTGATCAAGGATCTATTTTGTGTATAGCATGCCGTGTTTATGGCTTCGGCCCAAAATCTCTTTGGTAGACCTGAGTGCGAGATCATCGTTCGTGCAGCTTCTTTCAAGGTTCTATTTCTCCTTTCGGCCACTCCGTTTTGCTGAGGAGTTCGTGCTGCCGAGAGTTGGTGGAAGATTCCATTTTGCGCACAGAATTCCTTTATAACTTTGTTGACAAATTCAGTTCCCTGATCAGATCTTATTCGAATTATTTTGACCTCCTTTTCTGTTTGAAGTTGTCTTAAAAGATTTGGAATAGTTGTCTCTGTTTCATTCTTCTTCTTCAAGAAAAGCACCCATGTATATCTTATGTAGTCGTCTACTATAACAGGAGTATACTTTCTTCCACTTAAACTTGCTGGATCTACTGGTCCAAAGAGATCCATATGTAGAAGGCTTAGAGATCGAGAGTTTGC